CTAACGAGCGCGTTAGAGTGAGTAGGAGCTATGATTGGAGGAAGTAGGAGCATGTTGGAACATACGATGCGAACAAACCTAAGGTTAAGAACGATATACAAACTTGCTGTTGGCTATATTGTTAATTGAGTTAATCGTCGATTCAGTTAATCGGCATTGGTAACAGTCGCCCTAAATAGTGTTAATCAATCTTACCTTGCATTAATTGGTAGTTACACGAACTATTTTTATTTCTTATACATACATTATATTACTATAATAATTAATTATAATAGCAACGCTGATTAACTTAATCGACGATTAACTCAATCAGCAGAATTGCTATTATAGAAATCAGCAGTCTTACTATTATAGACAGAAGATTTTCATCACATAATCATCACATAATCATTACTTTCATCACAATTAAATACAAATGCAGAGAAATCACGCACTAGCGAATAATCAAGCATTGATGCAGCGTGATTCGATTTAACTTTTTGAGGCGTCCGTTTATGATAGGCGAATACCTAAACACACATTCCCTCGACAGCGAACACCTAGACTCCAATTTCCTCGACGGCGGACATCTAGACACCCACTTCCTCGTTGGCGAATGTAGACAACACCTAGAACACCCACTTCTTCGAAGGCGAACACCTAGACACCCATTTCCTCGACGGCGGACACCTAGACACCCACTTCCTCGACGGTGAACATCTAGACACCCATTTCCACAATAGCGAACACCTAGACACCCACTTCTTCGACGGCGGACACCTAGATACCCATTTCCTCGACGGCGAACACCTAGACACCCGTTTCCTCGACGGTGAACACCTAGACCCTCATTTCCTCGACGGCGAACACCTAGACACCCATTTCCTCGACTGCGAATACCTAGACACCCATTTCCTCGACGGCGAACACCTAGACACCAACTTTCTCGACGGCGAACATGTAGACAACACCTAGACGTCCACTTCCTCGACTGCGAACACCTAAACATCCATTTCCTCGACGGTAAACATCTAGACACCCACTTCCTCGACGGCGAACATCTAGACACCCACTTCCTCGACGGCGAACATCTA